GGGTGAGAAGTTTCTGGATAAGATAATATGAGAGAAGCTAGGGGTGAGAAGTTTCTGGATAAGATAATATGAGAGAAGCTAGGGGTGCCTTTTAGTTATTTTTTGCTTTTCACGGTGACTTCGCATCTCTCTTTTCACTAGAAACGTGTGGGTGTGTTTTTTTTTCCTTCATTTTCTTTTTTCTCATTTTATGGATATTTGAAAAATTGGTGATCTAGATCGGCCGGTTTTGATCTGAATTGAAAATTGGTCAGGTTGATCTATATCCCATAAAATATAAGGAACCAACTAATTCCCCTTGTGAATCGGTTGGTTCCAACAGTTATGACAACAAACCGGCCAGAACCAACCCCGTTGTTTTTTTCATATTGCCGACGTCAAACCTGATAAAAAATTCGAAGGGGTGATCTGGGTCATCAATCCATGTTTTTAAAGCCATGCTTTTCACGTTATCAACATATTAAGACAAGATGAACCTTCTTTTATGCTTTTTATAATGGAATGTATACATTAAGAGAATAACATGAGGCCTTAGCGGTAGTATTATCGAGCCCCAAGATGAAACCTTGGACTCCATTCTCACCAAAAGGTAGAATCTCAAAAATCCCTATTGACTTACCATTTTAGGGTGGGGGCTGAGGTCGTGGGAGTAACACCCCACATCCTAGTCACCACATTATAGAAATACAATCTAACCCGCATGAAACAATTTCCCTTTCATCAAAACAACAGGTGAAGGTAGCTTAATTGCTAAAAAGGTGTAAACATCATGAAGTTTCTTTCTTTTTCATGGTTATCAAACATGGACTTAATTGAATGTGATATGGTACTCACTCTCTCTTTTTTTATTATTTCTTTTTTATTTATTGTGTCAGTCCAAACCAACTGGGTGCATAAAACTTGGTAAATGGTTGGCCCAACACTACAAGTGACATTAACCTGACCCTAGAAGTGCGAGATGGATAAGAATGCTCATTTAAGGAGGTTGGGGTGACTTGATCTGGTAATTGAAATGTCAAACTGAGTCATGAACCGGAAAGTTATACATGTGGTCAATTGCTTGAAAAACTGAAATATGGTAATTTTATCACAAATTAAAAAAAAAATGACAAGAAAGGGGACCCAATTATAAAATACTACAAATGGGAATCAATTTTTATTTTTAAAAGGGATTTATATGTTAATATCCCTAAATTTAAAAATTAATTTAATGTGTCGGCCGATGGGCTATTTAAATCGTTAAAAGAAGAGACATTTGAAATCAGGTAAAAAAAAACGATAAAATTAAATAGTCAAGGAGTTTGATAGATTTTCCTTAAAATTATAGATTCAAGCCCTTTTGAATGACGTCACATAGAAATAAACCAAAAAATTAGAAGTAAACCAAAACCGCGATACCAATTTGAATAAATTAAAAAGAAAATTGCATCACATTATCTAGACCGTCTATTTTAAGTATTTTTATATGTTTACCGATCAACTTAATTTTAACCATTTATTGAGTTTAAAATTTTATAATTAGATATGAAAATAGATTTTCAGATAATCCTAAAATAATTTACGCCAAAATTAGATGTTACGATAAAATTTAAAGATATATCTTAATTTAATTGTTTAAGGTCGCAACCTTATAAAAACCACACCCTTTACAAAGTGGTTCCTTTTTGCGCCAATTTTTTTTGTTATTAACTTTACTATTTTAAAAATAAAAAATAAAATTACCAGGTGAATTCGATGCTTCTACGCCACCTAAATTTTGTCAAACGAAATTTGACGGTTTGTTTTAAGGGTCCAGGGGGGGTTCTATCTACAGCCCCGAAAGCAAAAGAGGATTCTTATTCTTATTATTCTTTTAGAGAGGGGCAGAGTAGGAAGGGGCAAAATATGTAATGAAGAAGGCAATATTATTATACGCAACGATTTAAAAAAAGCTAGGTTGGCACGGAATCATCTGGTTCGACTTGAAAATCGGCCTTATTGTTTCGATTATATATATATATATAAGGAAACGGCCGAGTTAATAAAGGAATCAATAGTTCTGCACAACAAAACAACAATTATATTTAGTAAAATGGCGATCTGAACGGCCGATTCATCGATTTGAACTGGTTTCACCAGTTTATTGTTTTTTCATATGTTTTTTTCTCTAGTTCACTATTTTTTTTGCATAGTAAGGGGGCGATTTAGACCACTTTGGTTCACTGAACCAGATCGATTTTTAGGGTGCCCAATCCAAATCACCAATCCATTTTTTAAGTCACTTGTTATAAATAAAGTGGGATGGGGCATGTTACCGAAAGGACAAGACCAAAGATGACAACGCAGGAAAAGAGATAGAGATACTAGTGATATAGAGAGGGTTAACAATCAGGAAAAAAAATTATATAGAGCCAAGTTCATTTTGGAGTGTATGGACCAGTTTATAGAGCCGAGGCTCTAAACAATCAAATCAGAGCCCACTTTCAAAATTTCCCTATAAAAGGTTGTTATGAGACTCAAATATCCTTGATCATTTTGACATCAAGATGTATGGACATGAAAAAAAATGGATTTCAAGTTTTTGAAATGATGCATCTTGTAATGCATTTTTTTATCGTCAATTTTCAAGATATTCAAGTTTTCATATATCTACTCGATCTACACTATTTTTTAAGCTTTAAATTTTATAATTAGATATGAAAATATATGTTGAGGCTATCACAAAGATTTTTAATATTGAAACCACATTTCTCTATAATATTTGAGCTGTACTTTGATTGTTTAGAGCATCGGCTCTACACAAACCGCACCCAACAATCAAATATGATGGAGTTAGATATAACATCCCCTCTCCCTTTCGTAACTTGGGAACAAAAATTTCGAGAAGTTCATCCCTTGAAGGGAGTTCGATCTCAGCTAACTAAATTACGTGAAGTCAATAGTGTTAGTAAACTCGGCTGGTTCAACTTAGAACCGGGCCGTCAAATTGGAATCAGGCACTAGCTGGCTGGTTTTGGTGCTCCAGTCGGGCATTTGATTTTTTTTTAAATTAAAAAAAATATATGGAGGAGTTAGATATAACATCCCCTCTCTCTTTTGTAACTTGGGAACAAAAATTTCGAGAAGTTCATCCCTTGAAGGGAGTTTGAACTCAGCTAACTGAATTACATGAAGTCAATAGTGTTAGTAAACTCGGCCGGTCAAACTCGGAAACGGCCGGTCAAATTGGAATCAAACATTAGCTAGTTTTGGTGCTCCAGTCGGGTATTTAAATTTTTTTAAAAATATATATAAAAATTGAAAAATGAGGGATTTGTTTGTAATGCGTGTTTTAATATTTTTTTTATCATTTTGGCAAAGATGGGAAAGTGTTTTGGCTTGAATATTTATTTTTACATTTTCTTATTTTATTTTTTATTTTTAAAATACCACCGGGAACAATTAAATTTTAAAAAATTTATTTTTTATTTTTTACTATTTTTCAACATAATTTGGACGTGTTTTGTTTAATAATGTTTTAAATATATTTTTCATATTTGTTTATATTTTTTGTTACTTTTTTAATACTTTTTTTATCGGGCGTGGCTTGTCTGGTTAGACCAATTGAATCAATCGATTTACCAGTTACTCAGAACCGGCCCTTGGCCGGTTTACGAGACCGGTTTAATTTATTGAAAATCGGCAATCAAACTATTTAGTGACTTTTTTTGGGCAACACTTATATTCCAACACTTGTTAACCCTAGGTTTTTTATATAGTGTTTACCACTATATGCTCATCCTAATTTGACGCTCAGAAGGCATTTTGGTCTATAACAAAAAAAATCGGTGGAGATCATTTATCTTTGTTACAAGGAAGTTACAACTGCTATTAGCCATATGATATCAAATTAGATAGCTTGGAATGTGTTTGAAAATTCAAAATAGCTTGTTTGTACTTCTAGCCAATCACGCACTCACAACTGCCTAATCTGAAATAAATGGACAATAATAATTGTGATTTCCTTATACCAAAAAGTAAATGGTCAAATTGTATACTTTTTCAATAGAATAATATTCATATTTTTTGAATATTGGAAGAAAACCGATCCTCATATAATTTATCCTAAAAGGCTAAAGGATGAAGTTTCTATAGAGTCTAGGCTTTATGAAAACAAAATAAAGCCTCACCTGAAATCCTTGTCTGGAAAGTGCATTCGGTTACAAAAACATCCATGATAGATCTAAATAAAATTTCAACACCGATAATAAATTTTGAAACTCACAAAAAGGTATAGATATTGCAAATATATGAAGACTTAGTTTTAGGTTGAAATGTACGTTCTAGATAATTTGTTATAATATACACGATTCTTGAAGCTTAAAATCCTAATTTTTTCACAACTAGTATGTTCAAGTCTAGATGATCGATGTAAAGGTATTGGTACGCTTGAGTTACAATTTTTGATGAAATATGAGGTGAGGCTTAACTTATTTTGGTAGGGCTGCAGCCATATCAAATTGTTTTTCTTTCCTAAATTAAACACTAGAAAACATAAGGACCGTAGAGATCAAAAATAAAAACACACAATGAGATTATATCCTTATATTATTTGTTTGGTACGCGATGTTACACTCCGCGTGAGTATTTAATCTCTCTCTTATTTAAATTTTTTCAACTCCCGCCCATTTTCCTCGCCTCAAGACCGAACCCGCACTTCACATTTCAAATTCAAATTGTTTCATGCGGGCCACTGCTGTCCAAAGGTGTAAAGCGTCCATCTTAACGATGGATGCAAGAAGGTGTTCCATCTAAAAGCAAGGGAAGCTAACGGTCCAGATGTTTTTTTACTATAATTATTATTTATATTTTTTAAATTTTTATTTATATTTTTATATTCAGGATCTCCATGTTAGATACTACCTATTTTTAAAAATTAAGTTTTAAAATCCATTTTAAAAGTAGATTTATTAATAGGCCTGCATTTCTACATATGCGGGTATGACCACATATAATAAACTTGTTCAAAAAAGGAAATCCCAACGAAAAAAAAGTTGGGAGTACATTTAAACGCGATTTTCTCTCTCTCTTCTGAAGGTTGGCCACCGTTTTTGCATCAGCCGTGAAGCTCCTGCGCTCCATTCTCCCTGCCATCGCAACCATCAGAAGCTCAGAAGCCATTTAAAAAAAGCGTCATCTTCACATCAGCAAATTGGGCTCCATTTTTGGGCCATTTTTTGCAGAGGCGAAGCTTGCTTTCAACTTTTCTCTCCTTCAGTCTTGCATCACCTGGTATGACAGAGAACTCGATTTTTTGGCCCATTTACTGTATTTCGAGCAGATGCAAATGTCAGGGTTACGGTTTTGATGATGTTTTCGGAGGGTTTTCATAGAATCAAATGCGTGAGTAAATGGTGAAAAAAATCTTTGTTTTTCGGTGTTTGTTTGGGCATTCTGTAGATCTGTTGGAGGGTTTACTCATTTTTTGGGTATCAATATATTTAGGCATGGCGCTCACCCTTTTACCCCAATTTGCGGGCTTCAGCTTCATCTGTGAACTCTGGATGGTTATTTAAATTCATAGTGCAGAGTTATAATTGAGTGCGTGTATCTGATTATTACATTATTAACTCATTTGTGTTTTATAAGGCATAATTTTGTTAAAGGGGGAATTATTTTACCCAAATATGAATTGTGTACATGGTTATCTACCTTGATAACAAGGAAAATTATGAATTAGAGAGCTTTGGTGGTGTGCATGTATGTATTGATGAGTAGGATTAGGAATTGAGCACTCCAATTTATCATTAAATATTTGATTTAAGTTTGTTATTTAAATTTTTATTTACATTCCTTTCTTTTGATGGGGTTTGACGAGTGCCAGTGATAAGGATAACATACTTCATGGTCTCGATAAGAACAAGGGGAGTTTGTTTGGAGAGCAAAGAGAGAGGATGTTCACATGAACATTGAAGCTGCTCGCACTGATGTGATTGGTGAGCCTGCAAAGAGACTTCCAACTGCATGAATTCGCAATGATCAAGTGGTAACAGATGGTTGACTTTGGTGTCAGGACGCTATCGATAGAATTGTTTCGTGTATAAGCCAGCTTGAGGTAATCGAGTTTTATCTTCTGCCCTTGTAATCACTTTGTTTCTCGTTTTGTTTTATTCGGTCCTCTCTTTCCGATGTGTGGAATCACATGTTACTACCCTGTTTTTATTAATTGCATTTCTATTCTTTTACTTGTACTCCTCTACTGAGGTTGCAAGTTTACCGCTCTACGTTTTCTGAGTCCCCAATCATCTTGCTGCATCATTTTGCTTGTTTTTTTTTTTACTTTTGTTTATTGGAGGAGTGTATGCTAAATTAGGAGTGTGGAAAAACCATAGCCACTGGTTCCTCACTGTTATGAACTGCAGGTTCTTCCTGTTGTGAATCTTTAATTTAATTTTTATTGGGACTTTCTTTTATTATAAATTCACATATTGGGTTTATATGGATTAGTTTTACTTAAAAAATTAGAATTTTCTTGTAGTACCAAGACGATTGATTTGGAGTTAATGAGAATTGAGACGATGAAAATTCTAAGCTGATGTTAGTATGGTTTGGAGTTCATGTTTGCGAACCTCTTTTTTTAGAATGGTTCCTGGTTCTTGGTTGCTAGTTTATTGGTTTATCCATTCATCGTTTCTGGTTTCTTCTCTTATGAATGAATTCAATCCTGGCATTTGTTTGGTTTTCATGAAAAAGGTTTAAAAAGCTCAATTGGGTGGTTTCATGGTTTTTACTGTAATAGTTTCTGGCTTTCTCTTTTTGAATGGTTGTGGTTAGTGAGATGGCTGTATTGAATTTTACTTTCGCTGGTTGATTGTCTTTTGGTGTTCTTTTTATTTCAAATGGCAATGAATTCATAAGTTCAGGGTTCAAAATTTAAAGTTTGGTCCTCATCTAGTTGGTGTGAGTAGGGCATAAGTTGTGCTTTTGGGCCGTACATTACACAAGTTTTTTTAAGCACTCTGTTTCAGCTGCCTTCTGCAACTGTTGTTGTTCCCATAACAGTTTGTTCATGGTCTTATCTGTTCATTTGTGAGTCGGTCAGTACGTGTAGAGCACAAACTGCATTCTTGTGCAGCGCATTACTAAAGTTTTCTAGGCATTGTTGCTTTCTGTGATAGTTGTTGTTACAACAATGAGCTCGTGGTCTTCTTATGATCATGAGAGAATATCAAACTTGATGTGCATGATAGAGCTTGTGTTGGGACCGTTTGCTCATATTTATTGAAGTTTATGTGCTTGAGACTTGTATTTGATTGTTGCTGCACTTTCTATTAATAAATGCCTCTTTAGACTTGGTTACAGACTTTCAAAGTGTATCTCGAGTCTTGTGTATTCGCTTGACTGTTTGTGTTTGCTGCAATATACAACTCGTGATATGCTCGATATGCTGCTGATTTTACGGCAGTCATCACTTCTTAGGCAGTTTTGGAGCTTGTGAGAACTGGTATTGTTTGATGTTTGTGGCTGTTGGTGCTGCTATGACTGTCACTTGTTGCAAACTAAAGATTCTTTAATTCTGTACCAATTTGAAGGTGTCATAGGTTGCAGCCACATAAAATGGAAGAACTTGATTTAGTAGAGAATAGCACTAGTATAAATGACACACATCTAAACATTATCATTCTCAATAAGCCCATCTGGTTCATTTGATGAGAGGATATACTATACCATTCGTATGTTACATCTCTACAACTATCTTATGTGACATTTCATTACTTGACCAATGAGGGTTTTAGTTCGAAATTTGGTAGGTTATAGCTCCACGGTGTTTTCTACATGCTTACCATGGATACTTCTTCTGAATATTCATACTACAACTTAGTTGGATTGTACAAGGAGCTCTCAGTACTACCATCTCATAAGTTGCTTGATCACACACTTAAACTTCCATTGCTGGCACAACTATTGAACCTTTTCAAATTGCATGTGCATAGCCTAATGAAGCTAAATGGTAGACGCTTGGCATTGTGTTAACTCTTTTGGAGCTCATAGAGCAAGTTTTCGTAGGGGGCATGGCATAACGCAACCTGTAGAATAATTTAGTTTCGTTAATAGCATTGTGTTCTTGTGATCAGAACCCATGCGAAGTTGATGTTTGGACTTCTTCTAAGGGAATTTGTATTTAACTTTTCATTATTTAACTTTGTAAACTTTTTTGTTATCTAATGAGATGCTGTGCTACGGATACCATGTAATACAGTTCTTTTATGTAGAGAGAGAATGAGAGCGAGAGAAAGAATAGTAATTCGACCTATAAAAATACCGGAAAATATGATACGAACCCTCTAATTTTTTCCTTACATTATGGACAACTTATTCCCAAAATATATTTTTAATTGTCCATGTGTTAGTACAGAATCATCAACTTATAGAATCAACGGTTAAATTGCATTAACACCAAACAACCAAAAATTGGTTTTCATCTTCATGCTGCCAAACAGTGTAAAATACCAGCTTTTATATATACTGGGTTCTTCTAGCAGCCAGTCACACATCATTGTGCTCAAAACCAAATTTCATATATGTCCGAATCCGCAAAACTAGGTATTGAGAAAAACCAAGGATTCTTGTACACAAGGTCCCAAGCTACCCATTAGGGTTTTGTTCTTTATGACATTCAAATGAAAGGCCTAGTTTTTATCCCATTCTTTTACTTTTCGTACCCACGAGTTTGATTTCTCCGTTTTTTTTTTGTTGTTTAATCTTCCTCATAATTGGAGTTCAATTTTTATATGGTATAGTTTCTTTTAGCTCATGTGCAATTGAATTCCTTGTTTTCTCGAGACCTCAAATGTGTATTAAATCCAAGAAAAAATGTCTTTTACTCTTTTTTTTAAATTCTTCTGAAGGTAATGTCACTTTCTATTACTTGACTTTTGTAAGAAACGAATTGGAAAGAATGCAATCTGGTGGCATGAATTTTTTTGTTTGTTTACAGTGATAAATTCGTTTTTCAAATAATTTTTCATCTAGCCCACCTCAAATAGTTGGGATAACGCTCTAATGATGATGATGATGAAATAGTTTGTCACCTCTAAAAGCCTTAATTAGTGTACTTAAGTTCATACGTGTTTTTGTTTAGTATATTTGATCATAGATTTAGAGTAAAGAAGGAGCCTTTGTTTGCATATTGATTTTGGGATTCATCTCTATACAAGCGTTTTTCATCAAGGTAAGCAAAAAGTAGAACTCATTCTAGTTATATTCTTATTGTGAATTTGAATCACATGATGTTTCCTTCACAATATATGATGCTTGATATTTTGATTCCAGATAATTCTTTGCGCTTGGCTCCCTTTTGTGTCAATTTCATGCAATGAGCTCAAAAGTTCAGCTTCCCTTCAGTTCAAGAGCTTCAAATTTGCGAGACTCTTTTAAATTGGCTATTCGTCCTATTTTGACTGCATGCCAAAAGGAGGTGATTATCGCAAAACTTCCATTTCCTCCCCCTCCTTTCGGTAGTTCTGGTAACCAATTTGTATACTATTTGATAAATTTGTTTTTATGCAAGCAAGTGTTTATACTGTTGTTTATTGTGACTGATCCATTTTAGGTATGTTACAGCCAAATTGTGGGTTCAAATGCCTAATTCTTGTTTATATTTATTTATTGCTGAATGTTGCGTTGTTCAGGAAGTAAACATTGGCAAGTAGCAAAATAACTACATCACATTTTGTCCTGCTTGCAAAATGCATTTATCCGCATAACATACCTATACATGGACTTGTGATCAGCAATTCAGCACTTCTAATATCAAAACCTGCACCTTTTGTCTGTTTTATATTTTTAATGAAAAGTTCTATTTATACAATGATGCTTGGGTGGCGTAAAAGAAATAGAAGCTCTGGAGTTACTTTGTATGTACTTGGATATTTGTTGATTTAATTTGATTTATCATTAGAACAAGGCATCACATATCTAAAAAGCATTTAAAGATTTATCATCATCATCATCCAAGCCTTATCCCAATGAATTGGGGTTGGCTATGATAAGATGTGGGAAAGTTTATGTTGGTTGTTACATATCGCAATCCACCTCTTTTACTCGGGCTTGGACGTCCTCAAGATTGTAAAAATAAATAATCTATATTTTGTTCCTAAGAAAATTCTATATTGTTTCTTTTCATTTGTTATGTTTATTTTGGCTCGGACGTGCGAGTTAGTTCAAGTGGAAGCTCAAAAAGAGCAAGGGGTAGGCCTAAAAGGACATGGTTGGAAGTAGTTCGAAAAGATATAGACTTATGACCTCACTGAGGGTATGACCCTTGCCTTCTTTATATGATGGTCGATCTACCTTCTTAACTTGGAAGAGGTGCCTCACTGAGGGTATGACCTTTAATAGAGCGGAATGACGGACCGGGATTCATGTAGCCGCCCTTAGTTTATTGGGAAAAAGCTACGATGATGATGACGATGATTATAATGATGTTTGTTTTGGCTTAGTCAGATGGTTTGGAGACCATATTAGTCCTTTACTATGTGATTTAACTTATGTTCAAGTCTTGAATCCCAATAGCATTGAGCAGTTATTCTGTTGTGCAAGTTTTTATAGTTTGTAGATTAAACACAGTCGCAAATATTTAGAGTTTGAAGTGATTCTTACTTGACCACCAATGTGCCTTGCCTGCCCCTCACCCTTTTGATTCCCCATAGTATAGTTTATATGTAGTGATGCATCTCTATGTACTATTGATTGCCTTACATGACTATTCAACACTTTGCATGAGTCAGCAGTGTGGGTCCATTTTCTTTTCACATGTGAATATCATGGTAAATTAGTTGTTCCAATAATACCAATTATTCTTTCTGCTTGGGAACTGTTTGACACTATTTTGTTTCTTAGCTTGGGTCGTTAGAGTTTTATATTTGTGTTGTTTTTTGTTTATTGTTTTTTATTTATTTTAACTAATTATATCACATTTCATTTTTAACACAGTTCATTTTTCTGTTGATGTGCTATTTTGCTGTTTCGTTTGACCTTTGAGTTATGTTTAACCCATTTATCTTTTCTGGGCATCATTATGTTTTTTAGTATTTCTTCTTCATCCACTTATTTATTGATTTTCATGATTTATTGATTTTCATTATTCATGAAAACTGTTTTTGTTTATATTCTATCATGTAGCTTCATTTGATAGTCAACCGTATTTATTCTGAACATCACAGCGTTGTTTATAGCAATTCAATTTCTCAAGTATCTAATGGTATTGCTATGGATATCTTTTTATTGTTTTCTCTTTTGTTTCTCATAAATTCATTAAGTTTTTTTCCTGTACGTGCAATATTTTTGTTATTTTGGTTTCCTGTTGCTCCATATATTTGTCAGAGGAAATAAATTGTTTCTCTCAAATTTTGTAGGAGTTTTACAATGTTTTCTCAACATTTAGCAATGTGGAACAAAAAGCTCTGCATAAGCTATTCATGCAGGTGTGTGTTGACTCATGGACACTTCCATTTTAATATTTGGTGGCTTCTGTTACTTAAGTTTCCATAGTTATGACATGCACTAGTAGATAATTAATGGATTAACAGTAAATAGATGTTCGGATTTTTTAATGGTAATAGGGCAGCCAGTTTTAACTAAAAGGTTTTCTACACAATGATAGTAACAACTGGCATTTTCTTTAAAAGTGACATGGTACTTTGTAAGTGATTTGGGGTCTTGATTCACTAATGGATTAATTTCGGTAATATGGAAATGGGTTACCTACAATTTGCAAATCTGCAATGCACTCAATAATCATCTTTTCCACATTAGACTACATCTGGAAATCATAGAATATCTATATGATTGATTACTTGTTTAGTAACTCTTGCATAAGCAATGCTATGGAAAGCTGTTTTATTTCCTTGAAGATGATAATTCCAAATGAAAATGAATTTTGATGCCATTTCTTTTTTATCAATTTTTGTTTGGGGATGGAGGGTGGTGGTGAGTGTTAAAAACAAACACCCATAGACACCTGAAATGGATGAGATGAGAAATTCGGAATGCCAATGAATTATTGGGAGTGAATGCTTTTGAGTTCATAAAAAATAGCAAATGTGAAATACTAATCTGTAAAACATAACCTGAAAAGAAATATTATAAAATTGTTACATTGGCACGGAAATTTGTGAAAAAGGAGTTCTGTAAACAAACGAAATTCATGGAATATGGTTCGCTTATGGTGTCAATGCGTTCAGAAGTCGGTCATTATTTCGTTGCCTCTTTCTAAAGCATGAATAGCTTTTGCTTAACTATATTTTTTGACGTTGCTAAATTTTGTTTAGTTACATTTTATTTCTTTACAAAATTATTATCCTTTGGTCTCTATTAATTCTTGCTAGGTTACTTGCATATGAAAAGATAATGCAAACATTTCTGTTTTCTTGATAGCTTTTACATTTGGTTTGCTTGAAATGGTGAATCTTTTGTTGGAAGTCCTTTGATATCTTAAAGCATTTTGAGTCACGTATAAAAAAAGTCAATTGTATGACTCTGATATGGCCATGTTGTGATATCCACTTCGAATAGTTTTATCTTGGAGAATCTTTTGTTAAAGGGTTTTGAGTCGACAGGTTGCTTTATTTCCCTTGCTCCCATTTATGAATGATGAGTCACACTTCTTCTGTTCCCTCAAATTTCAGGTCATCACATCTATGCATGAAAGTATGGAGGTACTCTTACATTTTCTGGCACATCAAAGTTCAGCTATGCTTTGTGTTTATTGTGGGCAAAGCCATCAGGTTGTTGAGTCCATGTGCCGAGATGCTTAGGTGGCAATACTTATGCTTTAGAAACGGACAATTTATTGAACATGTGACAAACATTCATTAAAAGTAAATTGTGCCGTTAAGATCTGAATGGTTGAGAATTTTCACTGTTCTGATCAATAACATCCAATGGATACAGCTGATATCTTACCACTGTAATGTGGTATGCAATAGTAAGTGGTAACATTGTGGATGGAGCTGTTCAAGTTTTGATGAAGTTGCTTTTTGCATAATTCATAACAACATATCTAATTTTTTACTGAATTTTAAGGTCATGTATGATCTGCTGGCTTTGGACAATCTTCTCTTGGTTATGGTAGTCAAAATATCCATCTTGCCATTGATGAGTTTATACTCGCATGGTACATGCCAATACATTTGACCATATTTGTGCTTATTTTATGTGTATTTACACATCCTATATTGTTTCACACTCTCTTCTTCAGGGGATTTTAGTAACTTTAGAAGTCAGGCGTAATAGTTATTTTGACTGTATAAAATTAGATTGTGGCCTGTATATAAGCAATTGGAATATTACTGTGATTTGTGACTATTGAAAACATAAACAATATGGTGTCACTCGACCTATATATAATTAAGGACTATATTGAATAGGAGTAGGATCTTTGGTAGTTGATTATTCATTACAGTTGTTGTCCAAATGCTGTTAGAAGTTTTTCGTGGAAAATTTTAAATGGACATATAGCGTCAGTAACATGAAATGCACCAGAATAAGAGTAACTTGTTGGGAGAAATGGGATGAATGTGTATATTGGAAAATATCGAATTCAATACTGGATTACTGTTGTTATCTGGTTACCAGAGGTAGTGCATGGAATCACTTCATAATTTTGAAATTTTGAATTACACTATGGTTTTTTTAAAAACAGTTTTAGGATTGCTGATCTTTGGTTAGCCCCGGTAATATACTGTGACTAATGCAACAGGAAAAGAAACTAATATATACATGCCATCTCTAGGCAGTGGAGAATCTGAGGCTACATTGGAGATATAGGCTTGCTTTTAGCCATGAAACTGTAGAATAATCTTAAATGCGTTGAAGAGATATTTAGGTTTATTGAGAAATTACTTCCTTCTTTCCAATTGAAGTTGTAAGATGTCGGAGACATGCTGTCTAAGGGGCTCACGGATCTGATTCATAAGACTGATCAGATGTACGCCTGGGTGACAATGTAATAAAGTATGTTTTTAGGAACCCCAGAATAAGATCTTGTGTTCCTGATCGATGTTAAAGTGTAAGGATCCATTTTGTCAGATTTTCTTAAGCTCTAGGTTAGTAGATACTGCTCCATCATTGCTGTAAAAAAAAAAAAAAGAAAAGAAAGAAAGTAAGCTTGTGAATATCAATTTTATTAGTCGTCTCATTTTTGCTTAAGACTTGGTAATTGCGGAGCGGTTGCCATGATAATGGTGTTATAGGGATTAGGGTAACTGGTTGAGGTCCAAAGTAAATACTCTTTGTATCGTACAAACTCCTTGGCTTTGAACTTTAATGTCCAAAAACTTGGAAGGTTCTTAAGCTTCATAACTATTGAATTATGTTCATGATTTTCGTTAGACATGGTGTATATTTGGATTAATTTCATGATTTTTTAAGGATAGCTGTAAAATTGGATGCAAATAACAATAGTTTCCATCAAAATGCTATGAGTTGTTGTGGAATGGATGCCTTCACTACATGGGGATTGCCTTGTTAACTCTCTTGATCTAGGATGCTTTTTTGCCATTTTATCCTTCAGTTTTCTTTTCTTCTTTATTCTTTTGCTCATGTCCTATTTATTGCACCTCTCTTGCAAATTGAGATAAACCAACCCCCCCAACAACCCAACTCCCCAACCCCCCAAAACCCAACTCCCCACCCTACTCCAACAGAGAGCGAGAGAGAGAGAGAGAGAAGAAAAATAAAAAGGAATTTTCGATCCCAATTTCTGAATGTTGTTCAAGTTTGCGAGTAGCTATTCTAGAGGTGATACAGATGATTAACCACTTGTCAGGGATCAAGTGGTGAGTGACAATCCACTTAGAACTGAGTGCTTTCTCATTGGAAAGAACCTCGAAACTCTGAGGGGCTTATTGGTCTCCTTTTCTATTAAATTCAATGCTTCTCCCAGCAGGGGCATATTCTAATTATAATTTGATTTTGTTCGTCAAATTTCCTCTCTAACTTTCATGGGCAGGTTATCGTGGCTGTATTACTTTTTGTCTTTTCTTCCTTGAACATGTGATGTAATCATAATTTGCCTTTATATGTATATATATATATATACATATATGTTATATATGTTGTAGTCTTGACTAAGCTATGGTCAATTATTGTAGTCTTGACTAAGCTATTGCATGTTTTAAATTCTTCATGAACTTATCCTTCGAATAATATTACAGGAGGAATTTGAGTCTATCTGTAAAGAGACACAGGTATGTCTATTTATACTTCTTTCACCTTAGTTTTGGAATTCAAACTACTACACACAGCTTGCTTTAGCTATGGTAACCAACATATTAATCTACTTGTGTCATCAACATTATCATCCGAGCTTTATCCCAATTATTTGGGGTCGGCCACACGAATCATGAAATAGTTGGGATAAGGCTCGGATGATGATTATGATATTGATGATGATGAAATAGTAAGGGTCGGCCACATGAATCTAAGCAAAATACAATATTACTTTATGAATGAATTAGGGGTAACATCACTCTTCTTTTGCTTCCTCTCTATCCCTCTCTACCTATGCCACAACTTGTTTTTCTCTGTCAAGCATTTAAGGTGATATTTTAACATAAGCGATTGTTTCTACAGATATTAAGTTATAAATGATTGCATTTTTTCACAAAGACATACATGCATATGCGGCTTGTACTTTATTAGTTGTCCTCCGAGATTTTACTTACAAAGTTGAACAAATTGATTGCCTGGCACCATTGTATCATAGACATTGTGCTTCTTGATTATGAACTTTGTATACCGAATGAAAGTAAGTTACATTTACATCAAGCACATATCATTGTAGATTTCATTGAATTATCTTAACACCACATTGTCAGAATGCTAAACACTACACATGCTTCCTGTTTATCTTTGACAATTTATGGATTGTTCTAATCTGAATGTTAGATTTGGACTGTCATTAGAACAATTCAAGGTGAAGCGTGTGTCTACTGCCATAAAATCATCTATTTGAGAATTAAGCTATCTGCTAATGCTTCTTTGCTTTAACCCAATTCAAGTTGCTGTTAATCATCAGAATACATCGAGAATCCAACAAGCATTTGACTGCAAAATGTCGATTTATTGTTTTACTTTTTTTCTTGAACAGAGCTCATAGCCTTTTGTCAGTCATGCTTGAGCAAACGAACTCTTGGAAATGTGCTGCTTTGGGAAAGGAAGTTTGTAAATTATGTTGAACGAACGCCAAAACATATATTCACTAATGTTTACTAGGCAAATGACATTACAACTCATGTTAACACTTGTACACATGAAGAAATGTAGAAATTAACGCTAGTCCATAGGAACTTGGCAAAAAATTTGCTCATGTTAAAGGCCACTGATACAGCTAGGATCCTATTGTCAAAAATTCCATGCATGCGTCTATGTTCGTTATATCATATCTATTCTGCATATAAAGGCAAGGAGCTAGGGACACATGACATTCAATAAAAATATGAATTATATATATATATATATATATATAAGGGAAAAGATCCTGTGCGCCCAGGTGCGTATTGCTCTAATAAACGCTCACGACCTAGATTGAATCTGGGCCGATCTAATGATCATCGATGTCTGATAGTGTTTCGAATTCCAAATCACTTGAAATTTTAGGCGTGTGTTTTTCAAAAATAAGCAAATCAATAAAAAATTTAAACTTGACCAAAATACCCCTAAAACGTTTCTTGGGGTATTTTTGTCAAATGCTTTTTTTGCGAATTATTATTTTTATATTTTTATTAAGCGTACCTTGATGAGAAGAACACACACTTAAAATTTCAAGTGATTTGGATTTGTAGAAAAAAACTTTAAAATTAAAGTACCATCAGACATCTGTGAGCATCAGGTCGGCCACAGAATGGCCTAGATTCAATCTGGGGCATTCGCATATGGGCGTACAACAGTGAATCCCATATATATATATATATAT